CTTCCCCTCCCCATTTTTTTCAAAAAAAATGCTACTCAAATTCTTATTTGTTGATTTTGTGCAATGATAATCAATTCATTACAACTTGTTAGAAGATAGGAAATATAAGAAAATAAAATACAAAAATATAACGTAGTTCAATACACCTTACCTAAATCTCTATTTTTTTCAAGCGGGTTTCTATAACCCTATTCACAATATATTAAGATTCTTTCAATTCTTTTCCTATTTAATTTGGGGTCCTCACATGTGATTATCCGAGACACTATCTCAAATAAAAAGAAAAAGTCTCCACAAAGTGTGAATTTCAGGAAGATTAGCCCACTAGGGTATATCTTTTTTCTTTACTTGTTTAAAAGAATTTGGGCTCAGTTTTTAGATTGCACAACCTAGATGGGTTTAGGTTCCACCTCGAAAATTCTATACCTAATTCCAGCACTTCTCAAATTTACATTCGCTTGAAATTTTTCATCTAAACCCAATTTAAGTAATTATCTAATACTAGATATCTTTGTGTTAAGTTCAAATTGATCGGCCCAAATTTCATCCTAAGTCCTTGAAAAATCTCTCATAAACCAACCACCACCCAAAAATAGGACTTCATTTCCCATCTCTATTCGGCGGGAGAAGCTTCCACTGAGTGTGAATCCACAATGCAGAGGATGATTAAAGTGTATTAGGTGTATCTTCTTTTCTTCACCTGAAATAGAACCCTTGGGTCATCAATGTCACTCATTCACACCTCTTTTTGTTCCTCTTTAGGTATTCAAGAAGAATTTGAGGGAAAGGAATCCTGAAAGGCACGACAAACAAATATTTTCAAATGCAACAAATAAATATAATATAAATACATATATATGGATTGAAAGAATTGGATTCTAGGTGGGCCTACCCTATGATTTTTTCCAAGGTTTAGGTCTTCCTTTTTGGCTCTCTTGTGAACTTGTCATTATCTTTTAGAGCAAGTTGAGAAGAAAGAACAAGAATAAAGAGAGATAAAGGATGGTGGCCACGGGATTCACTCTCTTTGAAAGATTTGATATGATTGGTATCTATAAGCATGCCATGGTAAAGTTATAAGTGGGCTGGTAAATTAGCTTGGTTTTGTTCAGACTCTGTATTCAATTCAACATTCAGATAGACGCTAGTACAATCACTCTTTATTTTATAATTTAAAAATACATACGTTTAACGGTAAAAATACTGTATTGAAAGACTCGTGACATAATAAAAGTTTGAAAAAAATAATTGGTGTTTAGATTTATCTCAAATTTCAAATCATTGATTCTTGAAATCAACTCACTAAAGTGGACAAGCACTATTCTTAATGATAACTGGTAATGTAATTATTCTTATTTCCATTGAAAAAAAGGGCATACATAACAACTTCAAAGCCTCCCCTTACTATTTTTTACTATTACTACTAATGATGCACCTTCCCCTTTTTGTTCTTTTAAGGATAATAATAATTACTACGAAAAGTAACTAGGAATTAGAATGGTAACTTTTGTAGGACATCTCTTTAACTACTTGGATAAACCACAACTATCTCTTTCTCTTTCTCTTTCTTTTTCTTTTTCTTTTTCTTTTTCTTTTTCTTTTAAAGGGTAGGAAATAGTAACTGAGCAGAACATTTGATCCTCCTCATTTCTGAGGTAAGCATGGCTTTATCAGTCTATCCAACATAAAATCAATGAACGTTTTTTTTACTAATGAACGTTTTGGGTTCGATCTTCATTAGTGATTTTCAAATTTAACTCGTACTTACGGTTAACAAGTTATTACAAATAGCTAAAATTTATTTTGTAAGTGCGAGTCCAATTTGATTCTATCTTGGAGAGTTCCCTCGTTACCCGAAAAGAAATTTTTTTTTTTTTTTGGTTGTTGAACAGCTATAAACCATGTTCTAGAAGGATTGAATTCAATCTAATCACTAACCTTAGCAGATAAGGAATTGACGGATTTCCTGTTGTTTACACGGGAAAAGATAAGAATGCTGGCACAGAAAGTCTTTGCAAATTGATGGCGAAAACGATACCACTGCCCTCTCCTGCAATAATTGCATCAGCTGCTTCCTACTAACGTTCATGAACAGCAAGTTCAGTGTATGACTATTAAAACCCAACAAAGTAAAATCATTAGAAATCTTGCTGACTTAGATTTTATTTTTTTGTAACATTATTGAGTCATTTGATTTCAATTTTCATCACCCATCACCGACAGAATTTGAGGGATTTTTCTTTTTATTTTTGGCGTAACGGTAAGAATTGAAGTTTGTAACGTTGTCCATGGATGACGACATGACTTTATTGGAATTTTCCCAATAGAGGTTCAAATTCATGTCAGCTTGATTCCTTTCGGATTTTTCTCAATTCTGATTTAATGAAAATTTTAAATTTAAATTTTATTTAGGTGAGTCCTCCAATAGGAGTAAATCAAATGAATCAAGTAAACGAGTTTGAGTAGTAATTTACTAAAGTTTGGCTAAAAAAAGTTTAAAAAGATTTAAGTAAAATTTAAACTTGACTCGTTTATCTTACAAGTCAAGGATTGGACAAGTTTTGGTGAGTTGCCCTCAAGTTTGTTTCAAGCAACTCGACTTTTTATTTATTCTTTAGATGATAATTAATTTATCAAGTAATGTTCGAGTCAACCTTAAAAATACACTCAAATTGAACCATTTTTCACATGAACATATTTCAAACGAGTTTTTAGCGAATCGATGCATTCAAAAAGAATATGGATTTATAACCAAGCTTTAATCCCAATGAAGCATCATAATCAACGTCTTTGTATTAGTTAATTAACACCAGCTACATTTTTGTTGATAAAACAGGATAGTCTTCATTAAAACATTAGTTTACGATCGATTGATTAATCAGATACAACTCTTCCAACATCGTCCAATATCAATTCTTTAACGCCAATTATTTAGTGAAAACATCGTGAGGTTGATTTGCAATAATAACATGAAAGACGGATGACATCAAACATTGAATAAAATTCTCTCTAATATTATTTATGTCCATTTATTTTCCTAACACATCATGTATCATGGACGGGTATTTAAGTTGTCACCAGGGAGACCAAACTTATGCAAATTAACATCCTTCTCACAGAGCCACGGTTTACCCTCTCCTACCAAACAATTTAGACACAAAGGCAATTAGGTGAACAACATTACAAAGCTTTCACGTTACGTTTAGGTGAACCAAATTGCAGTTTCTTTAGGGAAGGGAAGGGACCACTTCTATGATTTAAATTCACTCTAATATTCTTTAAATTTTCGAAGATTAGAAAGAAGATAATAAAAACCATGGTATAGCAATTAATTTCTCACTAATATACACTTGGTGAACGGAAAATCATATATAAATAGATCTCACTAGCTCAAAAACATGTATTTTTAAGAAATTAAATAAAACAAATAGAAAAAAAATGTACTTGATATGAACTATATCACCATTGTCAATAACTCGTGTCATTTTAAGAATTAATTAAAACAAATAGAGAAAAAAAAATGTACTTCGTATGAACTAAATCACCATTGTCGATAATTCTTTCTCAATAACACGATAAAACCATTATTAAGAATCTAAAAAATATTATTTACACATAATTTTAAAAACTAATTTACTTATCTGAATCAAAATTATAATTGTTATAACAACTATAATCCACCCAACAATAAAATTCGAAACTAATCTAATAATTATAATAAATTGTCTCTCCATATTACACCTATATCTTCTTTTTTTTTTTTGGCTATAAAATATTCAAACTTGTGTTAATAACTCTCGTAAACTCCAAGACAAAGTATTACTCGAACTAGTTTAAGAGCATGTCTACGAAAAATAAAAATGTCTAGTCCTTAAGGACTTTGTTTAGATGAATTTTAGAAAAAAAATTGGCTTGATTTCTCCAAACCCAAACTCCTCTTTACAAAAGTAGAACTCCACATTCAATCCGGTCGATAATCATGTTTGGTATATAATATATACACATATAAGACCACAGATATATCATAATTATTAACAACTATTTATCTTTTAAATAACTATTTTTACCCTTTGATCAATCTAATTCATACTCATATTAAGAAAAACAATTATCTTTTACATCCTAACCCCTTTACCTATCTTCTCAAACTACCCTCCCCTAAATTTTGTGAAATTCATGATCATAAATTTATTTTTTGGGATAACCACTGGATTTAAAAATTCAAAATTAAACTTCAATCCAACCATAAAATTTAAAAATCTTTTGGACTATTTTCCCTACGCTCATCTTGCCAAACTCCCATACCCTCATACCAAAAAACCCCTAAAGGTTAGACCCATATCTCGTTGCTTTCTTCTCAAGTACCCACTCCAAATTTTAATCTACTCATTAACACTATTTACAGATACTAGCTCGAGTCCAACAGAGAAAGCAAGGAGCCATTAACATGTAATTGCAAAACATAACAACTACCAACAAATAGCATTACAATAATAAAGTAGTCATCATCCAGTGGTCTAGCCAACCAAAAACCAGCTGACCATGGTAGACATAACATACATTCATAACATACGCTGCACAAATCACCTAACCTAATAATCCATTCGGACTCGACCATTAATACTATAAAACACAAGGACTAATCTGCAATCTCCAAAAATTCAATTGCAGACGATTATGCCCTTTAAGACTAACTCAAAGACACCCATTACAAATAGTACCTAAATTGCTATACGTTCAAAATACAAAATTACATAAATGACACTGCAGACCCAATTATATTGAAGCCCAATCAATCTCATTAGATGGGTACTTCTGTAAGAAATTCTCCGACCATACCATGTCCCATGTGCACTCCTCCAAAATATCCGGGAAAGTAAGATCCGAAACGGGTGAACCGCTTGATCCGCTCGACCCGTCACTGTCGGATCCTATCTCCACCACTACCACCTTTTCCTCCTCCTCCGCCGCCGTCGCCGCCGATTGCTCCGAAACCGACACTTTCTTCCGCTTAACAGCCGCCCCTTTTGACTTCTTGGAGGAGTCTATACTCTTCCCTTGAGCCAAGCTTTGACAAATGGCTTGTAGCTTAGCATCAACTGTGGAATGAAGAGGCTTGTACTCTCCGAAGTCGCCGCCGATGTGGGACCCACTGTGGCGGAGGTGGGGGAAGTTGAGCCTTGCAAAGTCGCCTCTAAGCTTGTAAGCGGCCTTGTCGTAGGCCAAAGCTGCCTCTTCGGCTGTGTCGAAGGTGCCGAGCCAGAGTCGGGTCCGGTTCTTGGGTAGACGGATCTCAGCTACCCATTTCCCCCAGTGACGTTGCCTCACCCCTCTGTAGAGCTTGGTGGGCTTCGTGGGTGAGCCCGCCTGCTTCATTGGGATAGGCTTTGGGCTAAGGAAGTTCAGGGTCTGCTGGTTCTGAGGCCATTGGGCTGGCATCATCTGTTGCTGCTGTTGAAAGTTGAGTTGGGCTTGGATCTGGTGGATCTGGTCTGGGGTTAGGTGGTTGAGCCCAATAGAACCCGGTTGCTCAAGACCAAATGGGTCATGACCCGAAAACCCTTGGGAAAAGAACTTGGTTGTCGAGGTGGAGCAGCCATCTGGGTACATGTGGGTCTGTGATGCAGAAATTGAAGGTGAGAAATTGCAGGAACTGTAGGGGTAAGAAGAGGAGGTAGAAGAAAAAGGGGTTGAAGAATAGGAAGAAGAAAAGTTGAGATCTTGGTGGGGGGTATTTTGTGTCACTAAAGAAGAATTTGAGGGTGAAGAAGAAGAAGATGGTGTTGGGAAAGCACTTTTGATAAAAGGCTCAAGTGCTTCCATGAGCTCACCACCCCTAAAGGGGTCTGAGTAAAGTTCCAGAGCTGTGCTACTCCACAAATCCATTGTAGCTGCCATTCCTTGAACTAATTTTAACAAAACAAACTAAATCCTGAAAATCAAAAGCTAATTAAAGACAGAAAAATCAACCTGTTTCTTACCAAAATCAAGAAAGTTGATTTTTTTCCAAGAAAAACCCAGAAAAAAATATTAACTACAGATGAACGAAAAAACGAAGGATCCAAGGAGATTTTCAAATAAACAAACCCCTTTTTTCCCTATGGCTTGAAAAACCAACCTTGAGGGACAGCAAATAAGCCCTCCTAGGCGTTTGGATGAAAGAGAAAATTATGAACAGAAAAATAATGAAGGGAAAAGAAAAGTCCCTAATAAAATTTGACCAAAAACACAAAGATCTCGTTTCTGAAAACACCTGGCTTTCCAAATCCTTCTCTAAGTTTGCCTTTTAATCCAGATTAAACAAACCCAAAAACCAGAAAACTTTTGAAAGACAGATGATTAACAGAAAGGGATCGAAGAAGCGGGATGTTACAGAGGGGGGAAGAAGAAGAAAGAAGAGAGAGAAAATCAGCACTCCAAAGAATCTTGATTGTGATTGTGTTTGTGTTGTGTTTGTGTGTGTGTGTAAAACTCTAGGCCTCACTCTGTGGCCTTAGCTCATCAACTGCCCCATTTTATAAGAGCCTAGCCCAGTGGTTTACCCTCCCAACCACCTCGATAATCCCTATTACCTCTCTCTAACCACACTTGATTAATTTTTTCAATTGTTGTAGTATCGGTTCACCGGGTTTACCCAGTTCAGCTTTATCTGTTGATGACCTAAGATTCCATCAGATGATGGTGTTCTGCCAATTGGAGACCCACACGTGCATTGGTTACCGACACCTGTCCATCTTAAGCCAGGCCGCTGTCGGTAAGCTTTTAGTGGCCATGACATCATTCGTTTACAAGTTTCTTACCAATCTATTCACACCAGCCATTTTTGGGTTAAATTACACCTATATACCCCACAAGTTTCTCCTTAAATCACACGAACGCTTGCAAGTTTGAACTATAATACTGACACCCCTAACACAAAGATCTTGAAAACTATAGTGATGGAAGTGCTAAAAAGGCAAAAATGTTCTTTAGTTGAAAAGCACAAACCCGAGGAGGACTGACTCAAATTTCCTCCTGATTATTGCAGTCCACAAAGAAAAATGGGGGAGTAAGAAGCGTAAATCTCATGAAATGTATATTACATTGATGATAATTTAATTTTATTAATTATGTGAGTTATAATAATAAATTTAAGTAATAACACATTTGATTCTCTTAATGGTATTAAAATATTTTCATGATAAATAATATTAAAAATCAACCACTCATTGCTTGCCCCTGCCCCTGCCCCTGCAAAATTTGCCCCACTCCTAACCTTCATACCAAATGACCCCAGCATTCCTCCTCCATCCTCTTGCCCCACCCTCCTCCTGAAATATTAGAAGGGTGCAATGTATTTTAATCATCAACACCGGGGCGAAATTATATTTTCTTATATATTGAGTAGACAAATGTCAATAACCATGTGAAGTCACTTAACTATTGCACCCTCTTCCTCAATATTCTACCTAAGCAACCACTTAAGTGGCTTATACTTTTTGTATCTTGGATAATATAATGTGAAGACTACAAAAAAACACAATATATTATAAAAAAAAAAAAAAATTTATAATGAAGTAAATTAAGTTGGTCACATGATAAGATTCTTCACCAAGTGCCGGCAGTTGAACGGTTACAATGGTATTGAAAATGTCCGACCTCCTGTGGTCTTTAGCTCTGACCTTTTGCCAGTGGAATGAAGTGGGGGGATAGGATATAATATCCGTAGCACTGTGCCATGACCATAATTACATTAATTGGTATTTATAATTACGGGATTTTTTTTTTTTTTATATTACGATCAAAGATATTCAAATTAATTTACCCACACTTTGATTAATGTCATGGTCATGCACGCACTTGAGAGGGGTTTTGAAATGCAAAATGGTCACAAAAAATGTGATATTTTATTAATGGGTGATAAAGACCGGACCCCAATAGAAGAGTCTAGATGACAAAGATCACTGTGGCTATCTATTACTTGGGTATTGTTATTACCAAATAGTTCCCCAAGACTGGCAATCTAAAATTGTTAATTTTGGGTGGGAGTTCCTCTTTTAGGGATTAATCAAGTCAGAGTGTTTTGAGTTTTTAATATAGTCGTTGAATTTAAATTCTCATTAAAATTCGAGTGGAATTTAAAATGTATGTTCTAATTTAAATGTAGTCGGCTTTCTTTTTATATTTTGAGCACAAATTCAAACTCTCTTCACTAAATCCAAAAACACAAATACAATTAAACTAAAACTCATTTTAAAGTCAAATATCTTATTAATTAAGCTCTAGTTACTATTTATTGTTTGTTAATTATGAAAACACATTTTATGATACACATAACTCAAACTCCAGCTTATTGAGCCAAGTGATAATAAAAATCAAAATGAACTCAAAAAGACTTTATTCGTTTTTTACCCGTAATAGATCCAATTGCAAAAACATGTATTTACCGAATTGTTTAAAAATCTTTCTCACTCATACAATGTTAAAAGATTGGAATTTTTGAATTATATTGGGAAGGAATCGTCTCCTCTAGTTTAGTTCATGTGACAAATTAAATATATTTAGATCTCAAATTCTACGAACCACCAGATATAAAACAAGATCTTTTTTTTGTCGTATGATATATTGACCCGACAAACTAATTTTTAATTGTAAATCATTTATTTTACTCTCATGTGAAGTGATGTTAATTACATGAAAATATTATTAAAAATTTGTGATTTATTTATCATTTAAAAAAATTGAGATGCTCCGAATTTTTCCAAAATTAATACTTGAATTAATTTGGAAAATAATTTGATTAAATAAAGATTCGGGTTGATAAAAAAAATATTCGAATAAAAGCGGAGAATATCATTACCTAACCATAGTTGATGTCGTCAAACCGTAGTTTGATTTCGGCGGAGGGTACGGCGAGGAATAGGAAGGACAAGCGTGAAAACATATGAAGTCGCACGTGGACACTTGCGCGTGTTAACGGATGTGGTAGCTCGTGGTATGTTGCGCGTTTGGACAAGATCTTTAGTTTGCGGCGCCAGTAGCTCCATGGACTTCAACGAAGCCGACGCCCGTCAAGCACGCTTCGGCTAATACAACCTCTTCCCCACGTGGCAATCAATCTATGGAAGCAAGTGGCAAATTTGGATCTTCCCACGAAGGTGCCTTTAGAATATTTTATTTACTCAATTTATTAACTTTATTCACTGACTTAATATATTATAATATATAGTTATACCCCGTGTCTGAAGGCATGATAAAATATAAAATTCGAACATCTATAAAATCGATTCATTATATTAATTTTTTTTAAAAATATATTAACTACAAATAATCAAATATTAAATTATTAAATATATGATAAAAATGAATGATTTATGTTTTTAAGAAAAAAATATATAAATGAATAAACATATAATAGAAATAAGTGATGTGATTTGACGTTTGAGTCTGACAAAAGAATGATAGATGAGGTAAGTGATTGATGATAATTTTGAAAAAAAAATATGACTGAGACAAAATTCAAACACACTCCTATTTTATTATATAGATTGAATTAGTCAAATCGTCTGTCACTTTATTTTTTGATATACTTATGAATAGAGTAATTATGATCTACACCCTCTTTAGATAGATATATCTTTAATCAAATTATTTTATTATTCAAAAATCATTAAAAAATTTTTTAGTTGATATTTAAATATTACTTACACCCCCTATCATTAAATCACTGTTTCTAACAAAAGAAATTCATCTAAAATATTAAAATTGTCTCTACATAGACCTCAATTAACCTTTCTATATAAAATTTGATTAAAATTTATTTTTTTACATATTAAAATTCGATTGTATTAAATTTTAATTTTTTTTACATATAAAAATTCAAGCCTATTTATATATTAAAATTCGAGTCTATTAAAGCTCAATCTGATCTGCTTGCACTGATTAAAATTCGATTTGAGTCAATTAAAATTTATATTTTTTATTCAAATTATTCAAATTTATGTCAATTAAATTCGATTCAAATTGATTAAAATTCGTTTTTTACATATTGAAATTTGAGTGGACTAAAATTTATATTTTTATGTATCAAAATTTGGGTCATTTAAACTTCAATGCGAGTTGGTTAAAATTGGATTCAAACTTATTAAAACTAAAAATTTAATAGGCTTAAATTTTAATATATAAAAAAATATAATTTTTAATTGATTCAAATTTTAATACATAAAAAAATGAACTTTAATTAGCTCAAATCGAATTTTAATCGGTTTAAATTTTAATACTTAAAAAAATTCAAAAATAAAGGAGATCTTATTGAATATATGCCTATGTGGAGAAGATCTCATTGAAGATATGTCTATCTAAAAAATGTGGATGAAATTTTTCTTAAAATAATATATCATGAACATTTTAATAAAATTAAATTCTAGTTAGCGCTATTAATCTAATATGAGGCATCATTGAAATTCAAAAAATATAAGAGGTATTCTTGAAGATATAATAAACTATAAGAAATATGGTTAAATTTTCCCTTATGAATATATGCTATAATAGCACCCAAGGGAACAAAATTCTGTTCATGGTCTCTAATAAATTCATGACAGCGATAGAGTTTCCTTCCAGGAAAATTTCATCCAAACCATATAGAAGACCAAAATGGACAACTTCCCTTGCCGTCAGTGTTTCTGCCGTTTGAGCCTCCCAATTAGCTGAAATTCTTTTGAAAATTGTCCATCTTCAAACAAGTTTATATTATATAAATAATATTAGCAATATACTATGTACGTTACACTT